ATTTTTTTTATATATAAGATTGTTTTAGGACTTATCTGAAATCAATGATACGTAATTCATTTTTATTTCGGTTATTTTATTTGTCTTTGTCTTAAAATACTCCTGGAATTAAAGGCTTTTCTAAGGGAATTGCCAAGGGCTATTAAGTGCAAAAGAGGGGGTTTCACACAGTTTTAAAAATCTATATGCTGTAATCTCTAATGCAATGATTTATTTGCGATTTATTGTATTTTTTCAACACTGTGTTTCAACATAATAGATTTGGCAAAATATTACAACAACAGGATAATATGGTTAAACTATTATTCATTACAGTACATCAAATTTAGTAACAAAATAATGGACATGAAAAGCAAAATATAATATGATAATGAATGTTAATATTTTGTATAGATAACTTACTTTTTGGTATTGGGTATAGTAGTTGTTTTTCTTGAGCGCAGTCAAGCGAAATTAATTAGGGTCAGCCAGGCGGACCACCCCACAATAGCAGAGGTAGGTAGGTAGCCTTTTCCTTGTTCAGAGATGCCCTGTCCAAAACTTAGTGACTTCGATGCTTAATATCCCGTTACCCACCACACGCCGTTCTGCTTCCCGAATCCCGATCACTCTCCTTTAAACATTTCAACAACTAAAACTTTAAGTGGCTTTAGGGTAATGTGGGTTGTGCTTATATTGAAAAACGATCTGATTCGCTCTAAAGTAGGAGGAGGGGCGAAAATAAGTACTGTACAGTACTGTATGCGTCACTCAAATTCCAAAACATTTCGGTTCCCCGAATAGGTGTTTGACCCGAGAGCATCTGATTGAATAAGGGGGGATTGAATTATTGGAAACCCCATAAACTAAATATGGAAGTTACCAATTAATTTGAGTATTATTGATAAAAGATTGCAAAATAATATAATGTTTCCTATTTAGTAATTATATATTTGGGTAGTCATGTATGGTCATCCGGAGAATAATAAAAATACACCCCGTAATAGTTCAGGTTTATTTTCAAGCAATATTAAAATTGAGGTTAAAATAATTGAGGCGTCAGAAAAAAATACTGGTCCACTAAAATTAGTTATGGGAAAATCTTAGTATCGAATCAAAATATAAACAATGCAGCTTCTTGCTGTGAAACACTGCCTTATACTACTGATTTAACGTTACTAAATAGACACATATGGACATTTCATTGAATATTTGCTGAACAAATCTTTTCTTTAATCAGCTGATTTTATATACAGGGTGTTCATTTGAAAACTTTCCATATCTATTGTATCCACAGGTAAGGCTTTTAACACTTAATCGTTCTCATTTCCCCCTAATTTGGACATTCCAAATCCAAAGTACAGTGTTCGTAATGAAACCCCATTTTATTAAGCTGACGGCAAAGAGCTGTTTTCTGGACTAAATCCTTGCGTGGGAAGTTCGTCAAAACAGTGAAGTGTGACGCAATAATAATTTACTAGTGTACATGTTGCTCGAATTCGAGCAATTACAAAGTATTACAGGAGTTATTTCAGATTGAATAACAGTCATATTTACAATGAATTTAAAAGAGTCAACTCAAATATTACCGTTGTGTAACTCAGACCCTGTTTATCTTCGTTATTGATAAACCTAAAGCATTCCGGACGGTTCTCTCCTTCTCAAAATGCCTCGCTGTACAGGCAACACAGGTCAATAGAGGGCCAATTGAGAACGAAAAGTCGTTTTGGGGTAGTGTAAGGGCGCATTTGTAACCAAATAGTTGAAGTTGTCCAGGTTCATGTTCAGACTGTTAAGCTGATGAGTTAGAGATGGCTATGGTTAAGCCTATTACGCGCCACTGTTCTGTAGCTGCGGTCGTTATCACGATTGCGCCTCCTGTCTATGTTTCGTTGTCGTTGCGTCGGAGACATTTAAAAGAAATAAACAACAAATAATAAACAAATTATAGCTACACAAAACAACGATAAATGCACAAATTTAAGTTACAATCATGCTAACACAATCCATCATAGCGACACAAAACAACGATAAATACACAAATTTAAGATACAACCATACTAACACGATCCATCTTGGGGGTTATGTTTACACAAACTCAAATAGTAAATAAATGTACTCAATGTGTTTCATTAATTGAAAAGTAAATAACAGCAATAAAATTATACAGCTGATCAAAATGTAAACAATTATGTTCTTCATAAGGATAACATGGGAACTTTTAAAGCCACTGGGGCAGAGCCCAAGGGACTTTTTCAAAAATGTAAGGTCAGTTTGCAAATCTACGCGACACGCTCTTTCCAATGAGACGTCAATGGATAAAATCGGTTAAGAAATGGCGGAGGAGTTCAACCGACAAACTTTCGTGTAACGTATTAATTATATAGATTAAACATAAATACTCTTGAATAATACAGCATTGGTCTGTTTTACCTACCATTTTAGAATCCCATGTCCTACAGTAAATAACACAGTATTATAATTAATAAACCCACCAATTAGTTTAAACCATCGATCTCTAGAGATCGATGGTTTAAACAAACGAAACAAAATTATTCTGAATTAAATTATTGGTTTAAATCAGCTGTGTGACGTTGTATATCCCAATGTGCTGTTGAAACTTCTACAGGTTTACATTAAATTTAGAGTAAATCCAGCCCATTGTCTTCTTATTGCTTTCATGAATACAATGTACAATAATTACATTCAAAAGCCAACATTCACTTTAATCAGTTTAGTGATTTATGTGGATGTCATACTAACTCACAAACCTCAACACTTTCCCAATAATGTCCAAATTGCGTTAAAAGTTATGTTCAAATCTGATTAAAATATATTGCTAATTTAGTGGGAATGAACAATATAAAAAAAATATGTCCATGCCATGCTTTACAAATCTGGTTTAAAACAATTATATCGTTAATTTAGTGGAAATCAACAACATCAAAATCACGGACGAAAACTCACATTTCCCCACTTTGCCCGGAGAGAGGGATAGACGGCCGTGACGTCATAGTGTTGTAGGGGTTTTCGTGTGGAGGACAAGCCATCGGCTGGATCGGGGGCGTTACCGCAACGACTCTCTCCCACTCCACTCAGATAAAGAGAGGGATGGTCGGCCGTGACGTCACAGTTCGGAAGTCTGTGTCGTCGGGAGTCTGCATCGTCGGGAGCCCCTGGTATCGCACCTAGCATATAAATGTAGAGAATGCTACATTTACTGCTACTACAAATGTAGCGTGCTACCGTCTTTGCTTCAGTTTAAAAAATGTAGCAACGCTACATTTACTGCTACAATAAATGTAGCGTGCTACAGTAGCGTTGCTACTTGTAGCATGCTACTACCCAACACTGGATATAACCAATCCATAAAAACTGTTATGTAATATTTTTGTTATAAACTAATAGTATTGATGAATTAGTAAAAGAACTTGACAAGATATGTAATTGTCAGTACCCCACGGGGAAGAAGAGTAGGCCTTGAAAACAGAGGAAGGTGGAGTGGTTTATTGATGAGGAATATTAATACACCAAAGGCCTCATTATAGCACAAGGCTCCAAGTGACCAGAACGGTTAGGTAACAACTTTACTAAGTTAACCTTACTTAGAACTTACTAGTTAACTTTACTAAGAACGTAAAGTCCTAACTAGAACAAGTGAGGTGAGGTGGGACATGCTTTGATTCCGAGGATAAAAATATGCCTAACCATTTATATCTATATTTATATTTATTTTATATTATTATATATATATATATATAAATAAACTTGCCATTTAAAATGGAAAAGTGCCAATTTCCGTTAGCTTTGTATTTTGCAATTGGCAACTTCAGTTAAGCACAAGGACAATCGCTAAAAGAGCAGCACTGTTCTTACCTAGACAAAAATTCTGGTTACGGAAAATTCTGACCAGGGTAATCTTCCTAAAGGTGACTTTACGACTAAAAACGTAGTATTCAAGGAAGTAGGCTATACTTTGTGAGGATGCGGAACAGGTCACTAAATCTACAAACTAACCAACATGGGAGCAGTGTCCGCAACTGAAATACAATCCCCTAGAAAAATGTGATGCTAGGTATTAACCCTCCGAGCGTCACTCGTCGAAAAATCGACTCACGATACACTTTGTGTAGTGTCACGCGTCGATTTTTCGACACACGAATATCGTTTACGGCGAAGGCTCTATGACTGACTGAATCGGATTGAACTGGATCGAGTTAGGTATCGTTCTTTTCGTTAGATTCTAAGCTTTCTCCAGAGGTCTGTCTCTAAGCGCTTTATGTTCTTGGTTATCGGTTGACAAGAAGTTTGATGTTTTTGGATCCTGCAAAATGTTTAACTGTTCAGGTCTTACCTATTCTATTCTTGATGAGCAAGGCCATGTCATGCAATTGCACTATTGCCCGGGCACTCCCTATGATGGGGAACATCCTATATCCGCTACCCGTGTAAGAAAAGGCTCCTTGGAGGACTGCTTGCAGAGGACTCGGTCACTTTGATGATGAAAGAAAGTGAGGATAATCTGACCTGGTCACCATTAAGTCTCAGTTTATTCAGGGTATTCTCCGCACCAAGAAGCTTCAACTTGAACGAGATTTTGGTCTAAGTCACAAAATAAATTAATGTCAGAAGCTGTGCAAGCCCTGAGTACTTAGGTCACATTGACCTGACCTAATGAAATTGGACAAACGATCTTATAGCTGTATCCAACAGAGATTTTGTTCAGAGAGTTGTTTGACCAATCCAGGACTTACTTTCACACTAGAGGATTCGCTGTGTGCAAAATAAAAGTATTTTCCCTCCACTCCTTCAAAAAAAAGGAAAACCCCCACAAAGAATTTGATCATTTTGGTAAACTAAACAGTGTAACTTTCCGCAACATGAAACAGATGTAAATACAAGAAACAAGGGCAAATTGTTCTCATTATAACACATGTAACCAATAACTTTTTTATCACTATAACCTCATTAAAATAGCAAACAAAGCGTCACTAAAAACATAACAGATTTTTCTTTTTCAGATAGAAGAACTAAGTCGAGGTAGCAAGTTTGAAGATGAAATAAGACGGGAACAGGAGGAACGGAGGAGAGAAGAAGAAGAGAAAGTCCAGAGGAGAATAGCGTTCAAAGAAAAAGCGGCCTTATTCCAGAATGGCCACTAGCACAAAATTGTGTTTGTTGTTTTAATGTCCCTTTTTTTCATAGTTACATGTTTGGTCCAAAATAATATTGCAATCACGAATTACTAAACAGGAGAATTCCAGTTTTGAAAAAAAAACAAATAGTATTTATGTACTAATACACATTTCTCGAGAATGCAACATTTAGTTCTGTCACTTACAAAATGGGTTCATATTAATTTTAAAAGCCTTCTGTACAAAATTAATGAATCTGAAAACTGATTTTTCATTTTACCGTTCACTAAATTAGTAATAAGTAGTTATTATTGTAATGTAGATTAAGTTTATGTAAATTGTATATAAATGGATGGACGTTGTAGGAGATCTGTTGGTTGTTTGATAAATTTTAAGTAGACAAGATAAAAAATTATATTTATTTCTTTACAATATTGGTACGGTACACTTAAAATTACAGTGACATATTTAGTTTTATAAAGAAATACTCAAAATAATAGTAACATTGAATCAAATAACTAACAGCTTAAACAATAAAAATAAGAATAGGTGTTTCTGATTTATCAACAAATCCTGTTCAATTGTCCTAAACTGTTACAATGTACTAGCCTACTGTAATACATTTAATAACAAGTGTAAAGTTTTTTAAATACTCTCTCTTTTATATTCATTTCATATAACTTGTCATTAAAAATATGGCATTTAACAATTTAACTCTTTAACAGAAGAAAATATGATAAGGCCAATCATATCATTGTACCCATTGAGGGTTTTATTTTAAAAAAATGTCATCAATTTAACTTTAGACCACTTTCCAATAATAAAAAATGAATGGTCTATAAACAACTTTCTAACCTATTATAACTTCGCTTTAAGGTATAGCAATTTGTAGTTGTACTATCTTATTTTATCTACTGGTTTTGTTTTAAGATGTATCATTGCCTTATATAGATTATAATTTATTTATTTACATGAGATCAAATAGTAGAAATTAGTCAGATATAGATGTAAATATTTTTGTAACTTTGTCACCATGTTTTTGATGTAATAAAATTTTATGGTAATTTCTTGAGATTTATTTTATAACCATTTTTACTGTTTGCAAAGAAATTGACAATAATTATTAGTTTTTTACACATTATCCATCCCAAGAATAAACCATAGAACCTTTCTTAACCAAACAATTTTTCACACAAATAACATAGAACGGGTTAAAAGAAATAATAACTCCAAAATGTATATTCAATAAAAGAAGAGAAAACAAAGGAGCCGAATTAAGAGTAGTACAGGGTTTGGGCTTAAGGCTGTGTGTAGACTGCTACACAATGCAACTACATACAGTAACACACTTCTCTCGCTTTCAGCCAAATTTTGAACAACTGTCTGCGTGATTTTAAACACTTTTAATACTTACACATTGCAATAGACAATAACATTGACAATGATTCACCTTGCATGCTGCGCTCAGTTAAGTAAAAACTGTTTGAACATGGTTAACTTACTGTTTGATTATGCAAAACTTGAATAAAGCTATAGCACTACAAAAATGCATATTTCACAATCTATTTTTCCGTTTGTTTATTGCAAATCAGTATGGGATATCCAGAGATACAACTTAAAGGGGTCTACTTAAGGAGGCTATAGTCTACTGAATAACATGTTAGAGTGAGAAAATGCAATTTTCTGGGAAAAAGGATCTCACATTTCGTATGATTAGGCATATTACACAAAACACTTTAAATTATAACACACTTGTTCAATAATTACCAATTTCCATCCTGTTAGATAAATGCAAGTTTTGCAAATTTCACTTGGTATACTTGAAAAGAAGACCACCAAAACTTCCGCTTGCATGGTTGACTGCTTCTAAAAATAAATCACAAATAATGACAAAAAAATCCAAACATCGTATTTTTAATAATAAATCTACAAATATACCTGTGAATAGGACATTTTCATAAGAGCTTACAGCTTTTATCTTTTACAGCATTTATTCACCAAGGGCATTTTGATATTATTTCTGGAGACAAACACATTCTAAAACGTCAGTATACATATATATATGCCGATGATATATATATGGTGGCGGCACAAGGTAGGAGTTTTGAAGAGGTGGCAGAAGCTGACTATGACTCTAAATGAACTTTCCCAGTACTATGACGCAAATCACCTCAAGCCGAACCCTGCTAAGACCCAAGTTTGTGCCTTTCACCCAAACAATAGAGAAGCAGGCCGTGAGTTGAATGTGAGGTGGCGGGGAGACCGTCTTCAGCATTGTCCTACACCCAAATATCTTGGTGTCATACTGGACCGCACACTGACATTTAAGGCGCATTGTATTGCGACTAGAGGTAAAGTCTCAGCGAGGAATAATATAATCAGGAAGCTCACCAGCAGATGCTTGGGTGCTAACCCTAATGTCCTCAGAACCTCAGCTATAGCGCTCAGTGTGTCGGCTGCGGAGTACGCTGCACCAGTATGGAACGCATCGTCACATGCAAAAAAGGTTGACATTGCAGTCAATGACATGGCTCGAATTGTAACTGGGTGTTTGAAACCAACCCCAGTACACAAACTCTATTGTATCATAGGGATCGCCCCTCCATCAATCCGACGTGATGTCGCTGCCAACGCAGAAAGGACTAAGCAAGAGACAGACCCTCGTCACCCATTACACGGCCACCAACCTGCAGAGCGATGGCTTCGGTCTAGAAAGAGCTTTTTATCACAGACACGAGTCCTGGATGGATCACTCTCAAGCAATCGGGTGGCAAGGTGGGAGGCCACGTTGACTAACACTCCCATATACCAGCCAGGGAGGAACTGGCTCCTGGTGCAGGCCTTCATTACACGGTGTGGAAGACCCTAAATCGAATTAGGGTCAAGGTACCAAAATGCAAGACAAACATGCAGAAATGGGGTCTCTTACCAAACGAAGAAAACATCTTGTGCGCGTGTGGTGCTCTTCAGGATCCTGGCCATATGCTGATCTGCCCACGCCTAGACCAGTCTTGCACATTAGATGATCTTTTACATGCAAATGACAAAGCCATATCGGTAGCTGATTTTTGAAAAGCTAAGTCTGATTTCCGGACACGGAAAGTAAGTAACTGGAAAACATCCTAAATTAATGATGAATTTAAATATCAAGCAAAGATATGTAGCACACTTTTGGACTGTACAACAAGCACTTGAATTAGGACTTCGTCTAACCAAAGTACAAAGAGTTTTGGAATTTTCTCAATCTTGCTGGCTGAAACCCTACATCAATTCCAACACTACAAGAAGAGTAGGAGGAGGAAAGAGAAGAGGCCAAAAACAAACGGCCAAAAAGCAAGGAGGTAGTATTAAAAGAAAAAGAAGGACTAATCAAAATAAAAAAAAAAACAAGAAACCAACAATATGGTCAAAAAAAGGAGGAGGATTATACTTAAGACCATACCGTGTGTATTAAATAAGAAAAAACAAATATTAATTCCAAACAAAGAGTTGACAAATAAAGAATTAATTATACAGGGTGATTGGTACTCAGTGTGACAAAATTTTTTTGGTGTAAGTACAAAGTAAATGATGTGTGATGATGCATATAAAATGTTCCAAGTCTAACAATTAGCTTCCCAAAAGATTATTTTATATTTTTCAAAAATAACCATGCTTTTAAACTTAATACAGCGATTTTTCAATTACGTGTATATGGATTTGAGTAGGTAATGTCATTTTTGTGTTCTACTTTAAATTTTGAATAAGAATAATACAAAATGACAGAGGATCAGTTGTAAAAACCCCATTGTAAATAGACTTTTTTAAATTCATTGTTAAGCCCCTGAGATGTAGATATTGTTGTAAGACTAGATTACTTACGTCAATAGCTCATTGAATCTTGAATTTCACTTCATGTTTCAGTACATGTTTCGACACATTGTCATCATCAGCTGAGTACTAGTGAAGTTTTTATTCGCCATATGGTTTGTCAATGTTCAATTAAATAAACTCGCAACACGTAACACAAATACGACACGACACGGAACATATACATTTACAACACGTAAAGCTTTAAGACATGCAGGCCTGCTCGAACAAAACACACGGTCATGCCGCGGGTCGGGGACAGACTGACTATTTGTTTATCCAGGCTTATCATTGTTATCACGGAGGCAGTGGACAGCTGTTTCTTTGGTAGGAATGATAGAATTGAATATCGAGTTGGAGCTAAAATTTAGTTTTTATTCAGAACAAATTCATTTTCGTCGTTATTTTTATGAGCTCTGTATATTTTGTATTCCTCCAACAAGTCCAATTTTCTGCCCTTTTCACAAATGTGGAGTATTTCTAGACTGTCTTCTATTGTTCCGAATGAGTGGTTATTGTCGATTATATGTTGGCTGAATGCTGATTTCTGTTTGTTCGTCCTAGGGTTTGGTCTGTGTTCTTTAAATCGTGTGTTAAACCCGCGACCAGTTTGGCCAATATATATGCTCGGGCAGTCAGCACATTTTAGTTTATAGACACCAGTTTTGTTATTATCAGGGTTGGTACTGATTTTGGAAAATGAAATTCCCTGACTTTTCCAGGTTTTCCAGACTGATATTATACTTTTTCCAGGTATACCGTAAGACGATATCGAATAGTCAGAATCAAGAATTATTAGAAAAAATTTAAGCCTAAATAGTTTACTCATAAAACCAATAAGAAAAGAATTAGCCCAGGCAAAATACGACAAATTACCCTTAAACCTGGGCAAAATTGCTTCACAAGCGATTGAAGTGGTATTCAACACAGAAAATAATGCTTTATAACATATCCAAAATCCTCCAAAATCTGATCATAGGAAATTACTAAAAAATAAAATTTAAAATGGCGGCAAAATTTCAAATTTTTGTGATATTTGTTTTAAGACTTTTGGCGGTATGGGATAACGGAAAGCACATATACATAAATAAAACATCAGATTGGATGTTGAAATATCAAATAAATACAAGAATAGACTTTTTTTAAACGAAAAGGACATATTTGTATGTACATTTTAGTTTCCATCGTTACTAAAAAAGAACTAAATTTAATAAGTTTTCTTGGACAAACTATTTATTTGAACTATTATCCTTTTGTTTCAATGTTCTTACATTCATTGATCTGGCACTACCCTCAAGAAGCAGAAAAAGACATTTCGTTATGTTTACACCCACAGTTGCGCAATGGAAAAAAAATGTAACAATAATTATTCTAGGGTTGGCGGTATATCAGATACTGTTCGGTAGTACGAGTTTTCCACCAAGAAGGACATTATTTTCAGACGTTTGAACAAATATGTGAAAAAATAACTATTATAGGAAACAGTAAACATGAATACTATAGTATGAAACAGTAAACATATCAAAACAGGCAATGCAAAAAGACTATGAGACAAAAAGTCGTACCCCCATACATTTCTTATGGACGTTTCGTAATTTGAAAATTTTTTAAGATAACTTTTCTTATATCTCCAGTTGTAAAAAAGTTATATATCCTCTGTAATAAAAGGGTTTACATTTGAGCTATTGATAATTAAAATCGGATGATTTAGAAACGAGCTACAAACCCTATTACAATATTAAATTTAACTTTTTAGATATAAGTTTTTATTAAAAGATGTATGTCTCGGGTTGTTAATATGCCACCAAGTTCATTCTGGTCTCAAATTACTCAGTGAATCTTTGGCTTTAATTTTATTAACCATTTAATAAAATCTGATGAATTTTAACTGGGTCATGAATCTTTATTTTAACAGTAATTATTTGTTATTCAAAATTTGTCTTTAGTTTTAGACATATATCCCCAATTCAAAATAACTCCCAAAAATCTTTACAGTCTTAAATAAATAGTAACATTATTGACTTTTGTTTTAGCTATGGATTACTTATTGGGAGTTATTAGAATTGGGGATAAATGCCCTAAACTAAAGACAAATTTTGTAAAAGAAATAATTTACTGTTAAATAAAGATTCATGACTCATTTTAAATTTGTCAGATTTTATTAAGTGATACATAAAATTAAAGCCAAACATCCACTGAGTAATTTGAGACGAGAAAGAACTTGGTGATATATTAGCAACCCGAGATATACATCTTTTAATAAAAACTTATTTCTAAAAATTTAAATTTAATATTGTGTTAGGGTTTGCAGCTCGTCTATAACACGCCCGATTTTAATGATCAATAGCTCAAATGAAAACACTTTTATTACTGAATATTTTAAGGTTAGAACAAACTGCAAGCGTTAGTAAAAACTGGAGATATAAGAACAATTATCTAAAAAAAAATTTCAAACTACGTAACGTCCATAAGAAATAGATGAGGGAGAATTTTTGTTTGAACATGATCTTCAAAACGAAAAAAAAATATTTAAAAACGGATTTTAGCATTGAAATCATCATGAAAATCTAATTTATAATGATGTGTCACAACACTACCATTACGTTTAAAAATTATATTTATATCCAATATGGCAGATCCAAGATGGCGGCCAAAATGCGTTCCCTATCAAAATAAAGGACTAACCACCCAATAAATATCGGTGGTAATCTCAAGTAAATATCTCAAAAATATGCATAAAAATGCATGTGATATATCGTCATTTGAGGGGGTTTCCTGTAGACCGACTTTTGGCAACTTTTAGTACGTGTCACTCTGCACACCCAACACTATACCAAGTAAAACCATACAATGTTTTCTTGCATTGTTTCAAGGCCATATCCCATATTTATCAACTATTGGTGTTTTAAAATAAATAGCTCTTAAGAAAAATAGCCGCCATTTTAAAATTTATTTTTAGACACTTTCCCATGGTCGGATTTTGGATGTGTTGTAAAGTAACATTTGTTGAGTCGAAC